CAGTTCCTTCTGAGTGACTGCTGTCAGCACTTCCTGCTCTGGCTTTGATGAAGTTTAACATGCTATGAGGCTGAGGCAGGAGATCAATGCCTGGATGCACTTGAACTAGTGGAGCCCTGTGCCTCGTCTCATTCTAGAGGGCTCCTTGTCACCTCTGTGTGGTCCCTCAGCACTGGCCCCAGAGCTCTGTCCAGGGGCCTCATGTGGAGCTATGGGGGGAGCAGGTCTCAATGGCCACAGTCTCTATTGGGAGGGAGAGTTCAGGCATTCCCTGAAGGACCTCCTCCACAGGGGTGTTGGAATCCTAGGCAGGCCTGCAGCAGGGAACGCACGCTCGCAAGTCACCGGGGGACTGTGGGACTTGCCATGCACCATACATTGGGGAGGCAGAGGAAACCGGCCAGTCAGGGTAAAACCAGGTTGGGATGGGCAGTCCCTGAGATGATGGTTCCAACTACAGTGTTCTGTGTGAGGGAGGTGTATATGGCAGTCTCTTTGTATGAGCTGTGGTCCTGCCAGAGTTCTATTATCAGGCACATGTGTGTAGGATCCTTTTCTCATGACTACTGTGTTTTCAATATGAAGTGTCCCTCCAAAGAGGTGTAGTCCCCCAGCCGAGGGTGCTGGTGAAGGGTGTCAGCTGGGAGGCCCACTGAGAAGCCTTTGAAGGGTATGTTGTTCCTCATCTGTCTCTTTCCTTCCATCTCCCCGCCCCCTTTCCTGGCCACCATGAGGTGAGAAGCCCATCAACACCACCTTCTTGTGAGGTATCAGCCTTCTCACCTCAGGCCCACGAACAGAGCCAGCCAGAGATTGAATTTAGGAACTTGTGATGCCTCTGAGACCGTGAGACCAGCTCAGCCATTTTAGAGACCTCCAGTTGAGTAAAGCCTGATTCTAAATACCAACACAGAAAAGCACCTTAGGATGGGCAGAGGAGTGGAAGTTAAGTGCTTATGAATGATTTGCACAGAGACATTGCATTGTGAGTGTTCCCAGAGAGTCTGCTAAGGTGTCTACATCATGTCTGCATATGTAATCCTATGGCTGTGTGTGTGTGTGTGTGTGTGTGTGTGTGTGTGTGTGTGTGTGTGTGTGTGTTGAGGCTAGAGGACCACCTTAGGTGCTGCTCCTTATATGACATCCACTTTTATTTATTTATTTATATATCTATTTGTTTATTATTATTATTTTTTTAATAAAGTGTCTCTCTTTGGCTTATAGCTCACTGATTGAATTAGGTTGGCTAGCCAGGGCGCCATAAGGATCTGACTGGCCTCACCTTCCCAGTGCCAGGATTTTAAAAACATGGGATGTGGGGACTGAACTCAGGTCCTCACGCTTGTGCAGCCGTCACCTTAGCTATTGATCCTCTCCCCAGGACACGGTTCTGAAGCTTTCTGTCACCGCCCTGCAGTGTACAGGGTTTAAAGATCAAACAGAATTTAACAGTTAAGCAAAATCTAAAACTTAAGTAAAATACACAAGCTGGCTTATTTTCTCTCCTCTTCCGTTTGTGAAGGATTTTTTTTTAGGGTGGTGTATGAAGTGCACTGCTTAGATTTAGGGGCAAGCAGGAAGGTAAATCCAGCAAAAACAAGCATCCTGGCTCTTAGTGAACACGGCTCATTTCTTGTTTCTAACATCCGTGTCTGACCTGTCTGTAGAGAAACACACATTATGTCTCTAGGCAATCTGGATTTATTAGTTGTTTTGAAGGTGTGTGTCTGTGTACACGCGCGCGCGCATGCGTGCGTGCGTGCGTGCGTGCGTGTGTGCGTGCATGTGTGTGTACCAGAGGACAATCTCTGTTGTCACTCCCAGGGTCTCTTACCAGCCTGGAGCTCACTAAGCAGCCCAGGCTGGCTAATCAAGCGCAGATCTTCATGCTCAAAAGGGAAGCACTTGGCCACTGAGCGTCTTCCCAACCATTCTGAAGTTTCTTGGAGGAATGAGAAACTAGATCTCCGGGCGAGGACTTGTTTCCCATGTCAGGCTCCGGAGCTCCCATCTTTCTGTCTGAAGTACTCCCCCACCCCTACCTCCCCGCCCCACACACCAAGTTGTTTCCACAGCATTTTGTCTCAGCAATCTCAGCTAAAGCAAAGACCTGCGGACTTCATGTGTTTGTTTACGGATGGGGTTTGACAGAGTGACCGTATCCTACTGTGACAATGTTCACAGTTTACTCAGACTACCTGGACCTGAGAGGAGAGGGGA